CAGCAGTGGCTTTTTCAAGCCTAAGCGAGGTAAAAATACTCATATTCAGGGAGATGCTAGACAGGAAGTCTATCTTCAGTTGCCCAGCGACACTTTACAAGTGGTCACTGGACATACGACCTCCACAGGACCCAACTGTGGGGAAGAATGTAGTGATACTAGTCCCCTCACTCAGGAGGATTCCCAACAACAACCTCCTCAATAACAATCTCATGCATCAGCCAAATAACATTATAATTTGGAATATTAGAGGTGCTAATAATGCTAACTTTGGTAGGCACTTTAGGGAAATTATGGACACTCACAGACCTTGTTTGGTTGCACTCTTAGAAACAAAAATGGAGACCCACATATCTTTCCTAGAGGGGTTTAGCTTTACTGAGATGATAGAGGTTTCATTAGTTGGCTTGGAATAATGAAGTGGTGACAGTCAACAACTTCACTAGAAATGGGCAAGCCATTCATGCAATGATCGAGGTAAAGCCTAAAAACTTATCTTGGTTATTTACTGCCATTTACGCTAGTAATGATATTCATTATAGATGTATGTTATGGGATAACCTTATAAATATCTATGACCACTACAAAGGGCCTTAGTTAGTGGGAGGTGATTTTAACGAAGTAATAAATTCTAGTAATTAGTATGGGGGTAGAAGTATCAACCAGAAGCGAGCAAATTCTTTAATAAATTGCCTAAACTATTGTAATCTAGTAGACTTAGGTTTTAAAGGGTGTAAATACACCTGGTCAAACCATCGTAGGAGAAGAAAGGGTCTTATAATGGAAAGATAGGACATGGTTTACTCGAATGATGAGTGGTTACAAGCCTTTGTTAATGTAACCATAACTCATCTACCAAAATACATTCGGACCATAACCCTGTCCTTGTTAACCTCAACAATAGAATCAATTCCAGTAAGGACAGACCTTTTAGAATAGAAATATACTGGTGTTCAAATCCAGATTTTAGTAGGATTATTTCTACTAGCTAGAAAAATAAGGACCTAATAGGAGGAACTGAGTCTTTTCAAAAAATTGTGTTAGACTGGCAAAAAATAATCTATGGTAATATTTTTGCTAGGAAGAGAAAAATTCTAAAAAGAATTGATTTGATTCAAAAATCTCCAAATTATCCAACCAGCTACTTCCTTAAAGACTTAGAAACAAATCTGATTGAGGATTATAGTACAATTCTTAAACTTAAAGAAGACTACTGGAAGATTCGCTTTAGAGTCAATTGGTTAAATGAAGGTGATGCTAATACTAAGTTTTTTCACATAAAAGCCACCAATAGGAGAAGAAGAAACAATATTGTATTTTTTAAAGACAACTTAGGGAAGTGGATTGAGGACCAATCCTCCCTTATTAGCCATGTTACACAGTACTTCTTTAATATTTTTACAACATCCCACGATAGGTCTGATTGGAAATCCATTAAAAATGATGCTGCCAACTTCTCACACACTAACCTTACTATCCTAGACAAGCCTTTAACAAACCAAGAATTTAGAAAAGTTGTGTTTTCTTTCAAGCCCTATAAGGCACCATGCCCCGATAGGTTACACCCGTTCTTCTTCCAAAGATTTTGGCACATATTAGGAAGCAAGGTAATCAATCTATGCCAAAAGATTTTTAACGCATCAGTAATGCCTCATGAGGTCAACAAGACCTATCTTTGCCTAATTCCTAAAATTAATAGTGCTAATAACTTGAAGAACTTTAGGCCGATAATTCTTTGTAACATAATTTATAAGTGATCACTAAAGTAATTGCCAACAGAATCAAGCCTTTTCTTAACCAATTGATCAATATTCAACAAGCTAGCTCTCTAAAGGGTAGGAGAGGAAGTGACAATGCTATCATTATCCAAGAAGTTTTAAAGAAATTTAATATAGCCAAAGGAAAGGAAACTTTCTTACTAAAGCTTGATTTGGAAAAAGCTTTCGATAAATTGGAATGGTCTTACATTTATCGGATTCTTAAATTTTTTAAATTTCCTAGGAAAATTAGTGACCTTATCCTTATTTGTATTACCACGAGTACTATTTCCATCTTGGCCAATGGCAACAAAACTAAGGAGTTCACTCCCACAGGAGGTATTAGACAAGGGGATCCCGTGTCACCCTATATATTCATACTTTGTATGGATATGCTTTCCAAAAATATTAACCACCAAGTAGATATAAGGGACTGGGTACCTATAAAGCTTAATCCTAGCCCCCCCTTATCTCATTTGTTTTTCGCTGATGACCTAACCCTTATGGGTGAAGCTAATAGGAAAAAAATTAATACAATTTTCGGATGTATGGAGGATTTTAGTTATGTGTCCGGATTAAATATCAACCAAGGGAAATCTAAATTGGTCATGTCTAAGAGTTGTAGTAAACACACGGAAGACATGACTACTCAAACTTTTGGGATTATCATTAGCAAGACCTTTGGTACATATTTAGGGTTTCCAATGCTGAATAACTACCCTAGGCACAAGGATTATCAACCACTAATTACTTGACAAAATGCGTGCTAGACTAAACAATTGGAATGCACGGTGGCTAAGCATGGTAGGGAGATGCACACTAATAACTTCTACTTTAAATACGCTACCAAACCACCTAATGCAAATAAGTCTTCTTCCCACCAAAACACTTCAAGAAATAGACAAAATTCAGAGAGACTTCCTTTGGGGGACTACGAGGGAAAAGAAAAAAATCCACCTGTTGGATGGAGTACGGTTACCAACACAAAGTCTAATGGTGGTTTGGGCATCAAGAAAGCAAAATCTAAAAACTTGGCCCTCTTAACAAGCTTGGCATGGAGGATCCTTACTAATACAAATTTCTTATGGCCTAAAACTCTTATTAGCGTTTATGGGAAGAGTAAGAGAATAAATGGCTCCTCAAATACTTGGGAAAACCTCCTTAAGGGTTGGACTATTTGCAATAAGGGCATTAGGTGTCCAATTGATAAACATTACCATATGAATATTTGGGACTCAAACTGGATCCCAAACATTCAAAGACTACGTAATATTATTTCAGGACCGTTAAATCAAATTGAGGATAGGTTAACCATTAAAGATATTTGGGATAATAAGGGTTGGGATTTAGAAAAAATATCTTTTGACCTGGGATTCAGAAAAAATATCTTTTGACCTCCCTCAAATAGTCACAAACAGTATTAATGCTTTAAATCCAAAATGCCAAGTCAATCACCCAAACAATCTCATTTGGAGTCTTAACCCTAGTGGTATATTCTCAACTGCCTCTTCCTATAACCTAATTGATGAGCAAACACCCCATATACTAACCTTTAAGTGGATCTGGGAACTAAACTGTCCTAACAAGATCAAGTTTTTCATTTGGAAACTCTACCATAAAAAACATCCAACAAGAGGCTACTTTGCTAAAATTGGTATCAATATAAATCCGACTTGCCCAATATGTAAGGATAACATTGAATATATATACCACATCTTCTGGGAATGTAACATAGCTCAGGCTTTCTGGCAAACCCTAGGAGTGTCAACTACCAGTAAGGGGCAGATTAATAATTGGTTGGAGTTATTACGGGATACAACCCCTAATAAAACTTATAATTATGTAACTTGGAAAGATACACTACCATTTGCTCTTTGGGCCATTTGGAACAACAGAAACCATAACAACCACAACAATACCAACTCTCACATTAATGTTAAAAAGGTTATTGATCAATCACTGGAATACACTCTTCTCACATGCACGATCAATACTTACAATAAAATCATAAAGGTTGATATAAAATGGAAGCCGCCACCAAAAGGTTGATATAAGGTTAATATCGATGGTGCATTCAAAAGCAACTACCTGGAAGGAGGTATCAATGGAGTAGTTCGTGACTACAAAGGGAAATGACAGACATGATTCTACAAGAAAATTCAAGCAACATCACCAATACAAACAGAACTCCAAGCTTTTCGACATGCACTTCAACTAATTATTAGGGAACACACATTCCCAGTTGAAGTAGAAACTGATGCCGCTGAGGTCACACGTTTCCTTCACGAAGATTATCCAACTTACAATAACTTAATTTATAAATGCATGTGGTTAATGGAAGAGGCATCCAGGCGGGGGACAATCATATTGAAGCATAGCTTCCGCGCAGGGAATATAGTAGCTCATCTTTTGGCAAAAGCAGCATTAATGCAACGTAGCTACAATAAATTATATACTTTTGTTTTGCCACCTGAATTTGTTGTAGATGTATATGACAAAGATCAGGTTGAATATATATATGCTAGAAACTGTTCTAGAGACCAATGTGGTCGTATGGCTGCTTTAAGAAATGATAGTGCCATACAAGGCATAACATTAGCTTATGATGGTATATGTACTAATGACAATGTTAACGGGCATTAGCCCTACCTATGTTTTAATATAAGTACCTTTTCCTGCTAAAAAAAAAGAATCACTCCGATGACTTACTGAACTTTTATGAGATTTGACAAGCTTTCAATATTTTAGATCGAGAAGCCAATACTATGGCTACTATCTTTATTCAAATATGGTTGTACTAATAATGCAACTACTATTGTGCTACATCTTATTTTCTTCCCTTCACTACAAAAAAATTATGTATTTATGGAGGTTAATTATGCATATTATGGCAGTTTTAAACAGCCACTACAAGCACTAACAACGGTTTTCGGAAACGCCACAAAGTTATAACGGCGGTTGTTTGAAAATCGCCATAATTGTACAAGTGATAAAATGGCAGTTCTGCTTTGATTCTCACGGCGGTTTAGAACCGTCAGAATGGTATGCTGACATCACATTAACATTGTCTAAAAATGGCAGTTCTAAACCGCCATAATCTCTTCTATTTCTTGCTATAGTTATTTTATATTTTTTTCATTCTACTTTGACACCCAGCCTAAAGTATCAAAGCTTGTTCATTGGTTTACAATTATTTCAACACAAACATAAAAGAAATATTAAATAAGCAAATCATTCAGCGTATATAAAAATATAAGCACTTCAAAATACACCATAAAATGTATTAGAATTTTGACAACAGTATTTTACATCCATTTACTATAATAAGGGAAATATCTACAATAAATCCTAGAAATAATGCCGACTAATAGTATGTTACATCCTTTTTGGGATGCTATGCGATGTGGCATAGTTCTGATATATGTGCCTACAAAATAAAATGAAATAATAAGCAACAACTAATCAAAATTACTGGCGTCTAAAGAAACCATTGAAATAACTCAATCATTATTTAATGTAATATACATTCCTTTTTTACTCAGTGGAGACAATATCACATGCATAGTAGATGAATAATCCAATTAGGAAAGATTAGGAAGAACCAAGTTGTATTATGAACTGCAAGAATCTCAACTTCTTGAAGCACAAATTGGTTTAAGCCCTCATTGTGAGTACATTCATTTAGCTTTATCCTATAAGTAACATAAAGAAAAGGTTATAAAACATGTAATATCTGGCAAGCTAGCCATTAATTTCTTTATCAACATTATGTATGGGTAACCGAATGTTCTCTGCCATTCGTTAGCCAAAATTAAGCTACTCGAGAAATTGGGATGTTTTGCACTTAAAACACATTGACTTCAGACTTCACTATTCGTTGCTATATTATTATATCAAAACTACTAAAAGATGAGCATTCTAAACTTTTGTTATTCAAGACAAGTTTCAGAGTCACAAAGTTTTATCATTTCTTTTGAGATAATCTTTTAACAAGCATGAAAATGAGGTTAACTAGCAATTAAAGATTGCGAAAAGAAGTTACAACCTTATTCCATCTTGGAACATTTTCTGAGATTAGCTTAATGTACTGCTCCATAGCCTCCTCCCGGATCATGCTCCCGGGTCCTTGCCATGTATTCCTTGCACAAAAGAATTATTGTCCACAAGATCACTTATAATACGAGCTTTCATTCATGTTGTATAACTAGCAATTAAATTACACACTGAAAGTACTTTTAAGGTCTGCCCTTTACTTTTCATTGAATAACTTTGTGTCCGAGTCTTGTATAATTTTCATCTGATACTTAATGTGTTAAGTATCATGATCTATCTATGTTGCCTGCTATATTACTCTTTATTTCATCCAGAAAATTTCAACGAAAGCTATCAGAAAAGTAAGTTATCATACAACAAAGTCAATGAATCTAATGACATATAAGAAATTCCTGATATTAGCACAACAACACATGAAATTGCGATTCATCTTCCCCATTTTTAGCAGCATTTCTCTGGATAACATATACGGTTCTCTTCCCTCAACTACCCAAGTACATGCAGTAATCCTATAAGACATGCATTCTATCATTCGAACTGTTTAGGTGAAAGCTTACTCATCAAATAGAAGCATTAGCAACACACTAACTAGTTCATTTAAGCAAATTCAACAAGCATGAACAGAAATACAGGAATGAATATATAGCTTATTATAACTTCCAATAGCTTATCTTATGTAGAGTAAATTAAATACCACGCGAGCAGATACTTTCAATGCCATTGGTTGAGGTACAAGGCAAGTTTCCCTGCCATCACAACCAAATAACTGCATCAACAATTCACGCCCCCAATTCTCCAATCCGCCAGCCTTCCCTTTTCCTTCATCCACAAAATTGATAGCTTCGTCAAAATCCCTTTCCAATTCACTTCAGAAAGAGAAAATGACAAGAGTGAGTGAAAAGAGAAATATACACAAATCCTAAAGGATCCTATAAATTCAAACATGAGAGGTTTCTTAATATAGAAGACGTAAAAAAATTAGATGACCCTATCAATACAAACTAAAGTGAAATTAATATAATTAATAATAATAATAATAATAATAATAATAATAATAATAATAATAATAATAATAATAATAATAATAATAATAATAAACATAATCGCAGATTCCAACTATAAAGAGAATAGCAAGCAACAATAGAAGAAATTATCGGATAAACATTAGATATTTGTTAAATTCAGTAGCTTCATGGATACAAAGAAACTTAGTTAAATTCATGAAAGTTGATTATGTAGTCATTTGTAGATATGAATAGACTATTTCATAACATTCGAACGTAGAAAAACAATTATGTATAAATTAATTTCACAAAATAATTTCACCCAAAAAAAGTAGCAAAAAGCAAGCTAAGCACAGATCCGAAAACTACATAGACATAGCAAATGAAACCCTATATCTACATGAATAAATAAGCTAAGCATAGATTCAATAATTACATAGACAGAACAAATGAAATCCTGATCTACAATCTGCATTAACGAATAACCAATAATTAAATAGCGAAAATGAGAGAAAAATTGAAAGGACCTCGCTGAAATTTGTTTGGAGATGGAGGTTGCTGAACTCCTCCGAAACTTTATTGGAGACTAGCGGCGTTTTCCAATCGAGATCCTTGGTGAGACGAGGGAGTCGCAAGCTACGGCGACCGACGATCTGCGCCATATCGATAAAAGGGAGAGGGAGAGAGGAAATTGCAAGACTAAGGTTTATTTGGGAGGAGTGAAGGAGTTCTAATTTTTGGTCAGAGCGGCGGAGGGAGTCTAAAAATTTGTTGAGAGAAATTTTTTGGTCTGAACAAGTTGATGAAAATATGTTAAAAAAATAATAATCAAACATAACGGCGGTTTAAAACCACCGCAATCGACATCAACCGCCGTAATTTAAAAGCTTAATGTGGCGTGTCTAAAAACGCCATTCTATGTTTCCAATTGTGGCGGTTCACAGCCGCCGTAAAATCTCTCATTTTTTGTACTGCTTCTTTTGTATATAACTACTATGTTAATAACCCTTCAATCATATATTAAGAAGAATGTCAACTATATATATATATATATATATGGGTTTTGCTAATATATTACACAGTTATAGCAGTACATATTTGCTTTCCTTAAAAAAAACCCTAATACAATACCACCAATGAATAAATGAGATGGATATTTTTGTCTTTTCCACCAAAACCTAAACCTAGTTCCCATTTTTCCCTCTCTTCCTTACACGTTGTCTCCCCCCCCCCCCCACCATCCCATGAAGAAAAGTTTGAGGCATCTGAATATCTTACAATTTTTTTGCTTTCTATCATTCTCTCTTCTTAATTTTTAGATAGTCTCTGTAGAAATTAAGATTTGGATTCTTTAGATTTAGTGTGAATTTTGGATTCATAATTTCTGCCAAGATTTTTGGAGTAAAAAAGATATGAAACAAACCCAGCAAAAAGCATTGGCATCTGCTCGTCAATGGTGTCACCAGCCGCAGCCCGCAAGCATAAAACTGGTCAATCGATTAAAGACAAAACACAATCTCTTTTCTTGAAAGTGTTTATAAATTTGAGCTAAATAATTTTCTCTCCTCCATTTTTCAACACCTCTTTTCCTTGAAAATTATCTTTGAGAAAGAAAAAAACGAAGAGAGAACAGAGAGGGACGCCATTGATGAGGGAGAGAAGAAAAAGAAGAGGAGAATTGGGTTTAGTTTTTTGTAAAAAGACAATAATGCCCCTCCTATTAATGTATGGTTTATTTGCTGGTGAGGGCATTTAAAAATTGACGAGCTTCTAATTGATTTGATGATACGAATTCAAATAAACGGAAGCAAGTAAAAAAAAAAGATAAAATAAAGGGGATAATACAAGAATTAGACAAGGTAAACATAGAAATCAGAGCCGTCAAAATGGGTTTCGCCCGTGAGGCCAGCCCAACCTAGCCCGCTATTTGGGTAGGGTTGGACTAGAATTTTTTGAGTCCATTTAAAATTGAGGCTTATAAGTCAGGCCCAAGTCAGCCCACTGACCCTTGAGGCTTGACAGAGGCTGAGCCTAGACCGGTCCGTGGGCCAAAAATTAATTACTATTAAATATTTAATATTTTAAAAAAGTAAAAATAAAAAAAACTATTAACTATAATCCTCATTCCCCAACCCTAAATTGCTCATTTACCTTTCCATATCAACTAGAATTAAGATTTTTGACATGCATGTAATATGATAAAATTAGTTTTTCTTTTGCTTAATTAATAAAGAACTCGCAAAGTCTTAGGTAGCCAATAAAATCTTTTCTCAAAGCCAATAATCAGTTTGGATTACTTTAATATATTATTAATATTTAAACTACTCTTCAGTATAGATAAAGATCAGTTTTAAATACAAAAAAAAAAATTGACCACTAGCATATTATGCTGGAGTTCTAGTGTACTTATGATGGAACTCCATCATATTATGCTGGAGTTCCAGCATACTTATCTTGGAACTCCAGTATAATTTGCTGGAGTTCAAGCATACTTATGCTGGAACTATTTTTTGGGTTTTGAACAGTATTTTCGCTCAGATTTATCTTTACATGAAAAGTGACTAAATTTTGATTACTTTTAAAACTGAGCTATTTTTGAACGACCAGTTGTAAATCTGGCTATTTTTGAATTTCTCTCTGAATAGATGGACAGACGGTATTTTATACCAAATCCAATAGTGCAAGAACGGTTTTGGCCCTTTCCGTAAAGGACAGAGGCATTTTATTAATAGCCATGATTGAGAGTTTATTGAGACTATAGTATTGACTAAAAAAGAGTACCAGCCAATGAATCTTTTAATGAGATATGCTCATACCCTACAGTAAACAATAAACAAAACAAACTTTGTTATTTCGAAAAGGGATGAAATAACAATCTTTGCACGTAATTACACTCGACAAGCTTGTTATTTTGACTAATTGTTAAGATTCCACATGACAAGCTTTGTATTCTTTGTACCCACACATTGCTCAGGGAGGAGGTAATAACATACTTATTTTGTCAAGGACTCGAAGATGTATCTGTTGATCATTATAAATGCCTTTCGACCATGGGGTTGTTTTTATCAAACAAAAAAAATACTACCAACGAATAATTAAATCATATATCTATAATGCAGATCAAGAACATGCATTGACCATGTAATAAAACCCTAACCAAGTGCAATCGAAAGTCCTCAACTACATCTTGGATTTCAAACCTAAACAGAAAACAAATAAAATAACAAGCAGTACTTACTAGGAGTAATATATTAATTTTCTAACAAATTTGTGCCAATTCTATAGGCAAGAAAAGCTTCCAATGATCCAAATTTAACCTTATCATCTGATAAAAACATGTTTGGATATTGTCCATTCCACCAGTCCATGATAGCAGGCTTCTTCATATCCCATTCATCACCCAAAACCTTCTTAGCCAATTTCTCCACACTACAATTCTTAGCAATTTCACCAAAAGTAGCCTTTTCCCTAGCCTTATCCCTCAAATCAACCCACTTGTTAATCTTGAAATTAAAATCATTCTCCAGTTTCTTGGCCACGTCCTCAATCCCTAAACCAACAACAACAGTCTTGTTATCAGACAAAAGTTTCAAGAGAGCCGTTGGGACACTATATGAAATTTCAGTTTCATGAAAAAGGCAGTGATTATCAACACAAAATTGTAATAACTCAAAGGGAGTTTTTGACATGCGGGTTGGCCTTCCCCATCTTGATATATAGGAACTATTCCTGTAGTGTTCGCTACGACTGATAATTAGTTTCTTTTCTTTCTTCTTTTCTTGAAGCTTTTTGATCATGGATACCCAATTGACGACTGGGGTGTCATGATCTAAATAATAAAGTTGTCTTCCATGCCATAAAGTCTCCTCTTCATCTTTTTGTATACTCATCTCCATGGGCAGCTTTCAAAGTTTTGTATATGACTTAGGGTTTAGGGGGATCCTTTTAATTATATATAGGGATATTAGTAAATAAATAAAAAAAAAGAATTGAATCCCTAAACATATATGGAATCGTATTGTATTGGAAAAAAACTGAATCTAAATATTGAAGATGACGTGTCATGACACATGGACTGGTCAAAAGGTCAAAACGCAATAAATAGCCAAGAGGCACGGGAGACAACAGATATGAGGAGAAGAAAACAACATAGGTGTGGACCGTTACTCAAATAGGCACGAGTCTCATACCTATTCGAGTCATTTAAAGACCGAAGATCGGAAGAAGTTGAAGATACGAATCTGATGATGTAAAAGAGTCTAAATACAGCATTAAATATCAAATACGTTAGAGAATCTGCATTAAATAGAAATGATTGTGTAACGTTTCTTTTAATGTCATTTATTGCTCATAATTGCCTCATTAAGACAAAGGCATTACATCTTCTCCTAGAATCAACTATAAAAGGAGAAGGACTCAACATCTGTAAGGACAAGAAATATTATTGAGATTACACTGAAATACAAAATTACTTATTACTTTATTATTCTCAAAAGTCTTTTATTATTTTCGTCTCCAGATTATCAGTAACCCGAATTTCTCTATATTTCTAAGCTTTGACCAAAGACTCAGATTTTT